GTATTTTTAATAAAAAGTGGTAGAAAATTTGAGTTGTGAACTTCTAACCCACAATGAGGTTTCCTGGTTTGATTTATTTTTAAAGTGTCCAAGGCTTTTAATGTCAATTTTCCAAAATATTTAACAATTGGTTAATATGTGACATTGTCAGCATATATTTCACTAATATGATTACAGAAACCTATTAATACGTTTATTATTGAGAGTGTTATAATAGCTTTGCCATTTGAGTTACATATCTCTTAGGGAATTGGCTTTATGGTTCTTTTGTAAGACACTACATAATATTGAGCAACAAAACAATTTCTAGGTAATTCAATTGTTAGTCATTGATAGAATCAGCTTATAAACATTTACTTTTTCTTATTTAAAATATCCAATGGGGTTATTTCAAAAATATTTTTAGAAATGCTAATATTTTACTGACTGCTGTTATACAACAAAGAAAAAAGCAGTAAAATTTATATGAATTATTTGTAAAATTTTGTTTTTCTCCTGTTAACTAAAGAATATGTTCATTTAAAATCATATATATTATTTTCAATGATGTTTAAAGACCAAAAATGTAGTATAAATCAATTTTTCATAGTCACACTGCTTCTTATATTAAAAATATGTTTCTCGCTTTTTTAGGTAAAGACAGAGAAAGAATAAACACTTTGGCAGAGAAAAGAGAGGCAGATTATTGTATTATATTATTTAAATATTGGTCATCCCCTGAGAATATAGGTAGTAGTTCTTAATTTTCAGTAGATTTCTGAATGCTTGGCTTTAATGGCCAGGTCATTTTAATGACTAATTGTTTTATGTTAATTAATTTAAAATATTGTTTGAACATTTGTGATTAGGTTAAATTTAGAGAAAAGTAGATTAATATAATATTTAAAATTTTACTAGTGAAGACTAAAAGTGAATACTTTTTTATTTCAGAACTTTCAGCCAACACAGCTGCCTTTGCTAAAAGTGCTGCCATGTTAGGTAATTCTGAGGATCATACTGCTTTATCTAGAGCTTTGTCTCAACTTGCAGAAGTTGAGGAGAAGATAGACCAGTTACATCAAGAACAAGCTTTTGCTGACTTTTATATGTTTTCAGAACTACTTAGTGACTACATTCGTCTTATTGGTGCAGTGAAAGTAAGCCCTGTTTTGTACTTTTCTTGCATTCTTCTTACTTCAGTGGTTTGCTTTAAAAACGATTTGGTATCCTTTAGGCATGTATTTAAGTGTGTAAAGTCCTTACTGTACTAGTGTATATAAAATGGCTTGAAGATGAGTATTTATAACTGTTTTCTTCCCTTCAGACTTAGTATATTTATACAGAATTAATGTTTTTAAGAGGTCTAAGGAATGCTAAGTAATACAGAGAACATTACACATTTCCTTATATATTTACATATACCAGTTTAGAATTCATTGATAGCATTTATTTGCTCATTCTAGCACTAACTGAAACTATACACTGGACTGTGTTCTTATTAGTAAAGCTGAGTGTCAAATAAGAAAACCAGAAATGATTGCTGTACTGTATGTGCTTAATGGAGGCTTTCGCATGAATTTGGACTTTCCGTGTGTATATCCAGATGTGTAGTCATTATGTATTTTATAGATGAGATGCGACCAGGTTAGGTCATAAATTGTGACATTTAATGATAATATTTAAATATAAATAATAAATAAATATAAATAGTCTAATTTATAAATAGTTGGGAAAGTAAACCTGTTAATAACCATATTCTATAGCTTTCTCCAATATTCAGACAAACTAAACTATTATCCAATCTATCATATATTTCAGAAGATGCATATACTTTAAGATATTATGGTGTCTTTGAATTATCATTATATTAGTTATCATTGGTTGAGGAATAATGGCTGTTAACATTTTATCCTGAATTTGAGCACCTAGAAAGTTGATGAGACCTTGTTTCTTGGTTTCTTATGCAAAATTTTTTCATCTAAAGTCTGTGACCCAGTGATGGGCATGTTGGCTCATGGCTGTAATCCTAGCACTCTGGGAGACTGAGGCGGGTGGATTCAAGCTTATTGGTTCAAAACCAGTCTGAGTAAGAGTGAGACTCTGTCTCCAAAAATAGCCAGACGTTGTGGCAGTTGCCTGTAATCCCAGCTACTCGGGAGGCTAAAGCAAGAGACTCATTGGAGTCCGAGAGTTGGAGGTTGCTATGAACAGTGATGCCACAGCACTCTATGAAGGGTGGCAAAGTGAGACTTTGTCTCAAAAAGAATAATAAATAAAGTCTCTGACTCAGTTTTCATCTGTCCTCAGAACATTGATATAGTGTGTTTATTCATGGTTCTCTTCTCAAGCCACTGGTAGCAGTTATTAGTAGAGGGCTCTTTAGTACTTCAGAATGGTGTTTTTTTACTTTAAGTAAAATGACCAATATTATTATTATTTACTCTTTTAAATGTTACTCATTAGATTCTCAGTGATCAGTTTTTCTTTTCAGCTATTTGGACATGTTAATATAGGTAGCAGTTATTAGAATATATTTCCTTATATGTAGGTAACTTGTGGTGTACAGAAATCTAGTTTACAGATGATGATTCCTATTTCTGTCCCTCTGCTCTCACCTCATTCCAGAACTTCCACTAGCTATTATAAAAAGTATGACATTTAAAAAAAACCTGGGGGCCAAAAAAGGGAAGTTGGGCAATGTCTATAAGGAGGCATACTTGCAGTGAAAACCTAACCTAGGAAAAGAACCCGGCAGGGATGGCCTGCCCATGTAAAGGATATTGATCTCTCAAAAACAGCTTTCCTCATAGTACCGAAGTCTTTTTTGCTATATTTTTATGTTGCATGAAATCATGGTTATATTCATGTTTTTCAAAATATTTTCTATAGCTCAGTGATAATCAAAAATGGTAAAAGTGCTGCCATGTTAGGTAATTCTGTGGATCATACTGCTTTATCTAGAGTCACCAGAGTTTGGAGAATAATGTTTATAGTATTCCTATTTTGGAGATTCAGAATGTATTTTAAAAGCTCAAAACTGTCCAGGAGTCAAAAAGAAAATAAGTCTTCAAAATTCATATGAGCAGGAATTTCTTTTCTACTTAATATATCTGTTCACACATACAGAACACATGGGAAATACTGGATTAATAATCCATTAACTTAGAGGAAAATTAAGAGCTATAGTCAAGTTATACCTTGAGGCAAACTAAGCTCTTTCAGATTGTTTTTTTAATGAAACCTAGCCCAGGCCAGTTGCACAAAGTAGTTAAGAAATTGTATAAGAGGGAAGAGGATAATAGGTAATTTATGTTTTGGTTTTGGTTTTTGTCTTTGTTTTAAACTTAGTTCAAGCCAAGCGCAATCGCTCCTAGCTGTATTCCTAGTTACTCTGAAGGCTGAGGTGGGAAGATTGCTCGAGGCTAGGAGTTAGAGAACAGCCTTGGAGATACAGGGAGATCCTGGTAAATAAATAAAGTAATTTACTTGTATATGAAAAAATAATACACACACATGACAGTTTTGTCAACCCCAAAAGGTAAATTTCTCTTGGCTTTGGAGCTAACTAAAACCTCTAGTCTCTGACTTCAGTCATAAACTATTAGGTTCTTAGGTATCTTCACAGAATTACCTATACATGCATGTGAAACTAATTCTCTATTTCTGCTTCCCTCAATCTCCTCCCTCCTTTCCTCCCTTCTCCTCTTTATCTTTTATGTTCTCAAAAAGGCACATACTATGTATATGTGGATTTTTTTGTGTTTTGTTTTGTTTTTTAAGTGACAGGGTCTTTCTCTGTTGGTTAGGCTAGAGCACAGTGGCAAATTCATAGCTCATTGTAACTTTGAACTCCTGGGCTCAAACAGTCCTCCTTCAGTCTCCCAAATAGCTGGGACTACAGGTAAATGGCAAACATGCCTGACTAATTTTTTCTTATTATTTTTAGGGATAGGATCTTGCTGTGTTTCTCAGGCTGATCTTGAACTCCTAACCTCAGGCTATCCTCCTCCCTGATTGTACCAAAGTACTGGGATTACAGGCATGACCCACCATGCCTAGACCGTACACACTGCTTTTTTCATCTCCATTTGAGAGAAGTCTCCATATCACTATGGGTAGATAGATTGCATTCTTTTTAATGATAGCATAGCATTCCATGATATGACATATAGATGTACCTTGAGTTATTTAACCAGTCAATTCTTAATGAATGTCAGATAATTTGATAACTCTTTGAGTATAAAATGCCTAGAAGCAGAATTGCTGTCCAAAGGGTACATTCATTTTAAATTTCCAATAACTAATGCCAAATACTGTTTGGAGGGATTATACTTTATACTGTCACCAACATATTTTCCTTTTTCTTCCACTTAATGATGAAGGCTTTTTTTTTTTAATAAAGTGTCATTTCTTTAGTTAGTATGAATTTAGGCATCTTTACAAATGATTAGCCATTTACATTTCTTTCTCTGTGAAGAACTGTTCATTTCTTTGCCCAGTAGTCTTTACCTTATCTGTCTCTAACAGCAACTTCATATTAACTGGCCTTTTGTTTTATTCATTTTGAGAATAATTTTCTGGTGAAAATTTTGAAACTAAGAACACTTTGGGAATTAGAATGTAGACACTAGACACTGGGAACTGAGAACATTAGGAATTGGGGCACTAAAAAAACAAATTTTACCCATTTCTGGGCTGGGTGCAGTGGTTCATGCCTTTAATCCTAGCAATCTGGGAGGCGGAAACAGGTGGATTACTTGAGCTCATGAGTTCAAGACCAGCCTGAGCAAAAAACAAGACCCTGTCTCTACTAAAAATAGAAAAACTGAGGCAAGAGGATCACTTGAGCCCAAGAGTTAGAGGTTACTATGGCCTGTGATACCAAAGCACTCGACCCAGGGCGACACTTGAGACTTTGTCTAAAAAAAAAAAAAAAATTTTTTTTACCCATTTCAAAATACTACCTCAGCCTGGCCTTGGCGTGAAGAAACGCCTGTTTTTTTTTTGTACAGTGCATGGCCTCTGATGTTTAGGACTACAAATTTTGGCTAGCAACTTTATAAGCATTATCATATATTGGGCTTCTATGAACCTCTATAGTAGAATCAGGGTTGAGGGCAAATGGTTTTTAATGTTTTTAGCATTGGAACTCTTTATAAAAAATTCTTCCTCCAATTTAAAAATACATAAAAATTTGTTTTGAAAACTAATAGATAGATTTCCCTAAAACATGTAGAAGCTTTATTATTTGGCAATAAATACTCAGCACTCCAGGGAGCTGGATAGCATACTTTTAGATTCACTAAATTAGACTATTATAATCATTAAATTTGCAGTGTCAGATTTCCTGGTGAGCTAAGAAGACTGATCCAGGCTTGCCATCCTTAGCACAGTGGTTAACAGCACCAGCCACATAAGCCAAGGGTGGTGGGTTTAAACCCGGCCTCGGCCTGCTAAACAACTGCAACGAAAAAAAAGAAAAGAAAACTGATCCACATCTGTAGCCTTGTATAACCTAGACTAGCTTGCCTACAAATGTATCCCACAAGTTGCCAGGGAATAGAAGTCCTAAGTGGATGATGAGTGTCAGTCTATCCCTTATCCCTCACACAGAAACTGTTGGTTCTACTAGAGTGGATTAGAATCCTGACACAGGGCTC